AACACTGTTTCAGAACAGTTCAACCCAAATATTCAGATGTGTGCAGCACATTTTATGGAGGAATGTTTCCTGATCCTGGTATAGTAGACTACAATGCCGGTTGTTCTGACTCACAGACATTTTTTATATTTAAAGAATTTGATTAAAACGCGAGTTTTATTTAGTTATTGTATTAGGCATAACATTTCCGTCACACGCTTGAGGTATTCAATCTTGCCAACTCCAAATTTTTGCACAGCAGTGTACGTACTTGACAAATTATAGTAGTCCGAACGTTAACAACTTGCATCTTAAATCCACACAAAAATGCCATTCTGAATATCCAGTGGAAATTATTTGTGGAACGATTTCTAGGTTAACAATATTATCACATGAAAAACCCTGAAAAGAGTTAGCAGTTTTTAGTGAAGTCATTTATGTGGTTAACATTACTGAAGAGACAACGAGTTACCAGAAATATACATTTTGAAACTGTTGTGTGTTTAAAAAAACTTTCTAAAAAAATTAAGTACTACACACGGTAGCGTATACAGTACATGCTACCTCTCTAGGATGTGAGTTTATTTGTTTGACGGATCTTAGCTTAAGCAGGAATTTGTTAGCAACTTTCATTCTAAAAACACACTCACAAAAAATGCTATTCCAGAGGCAAATAAGCTTTTTGTGTTAGCAATACTATCACATATTATTATGAGAAATCATGCAGCCAGTTAATGTTTCGCTATTTCTCTCTCCTTTACTCTCTGTGCCGTGTGATTTTTGATAGTTCAAAGACTGTTGACTGAATTATGTATTATCATTATACATTTAAAATATATTAACTAAAATCATTGCTGTGAGCCAACAGCCTTCAAACTGTAATTTTCCAATTCGGTATGACAAGCAAATCATTCAGTGATTAGCAATCTGGACTGTGCCACAGGGGGCAAGAGATTGGGTTAGTAGTTCATGTCAATTGACTTGTGTTTGCCTTTCACTACAGGGGAAAGAATCTATCTATTTCCTCTCTCTGTGTGTGTGGGCAATATCAATGGTACAGATTTGGAGGGAAGGGGTAAACACTGAGAGTCAGTGGTCACTTGTCATCTCAATACAGTATGTTTTGTAATTTATTTAATAACTGCAATTCGTTGTTATAATAAAAACGGTTTAGAAAAAGTATATCCAACTTGTGAACCACTGTCCACAATTAAATCAAGTTTTAACCCAAAGTTATACAGCTGTCTGAAACAGCTGTTTTTGATTGGTCAATCGCAGCATTCAGAGGTAAAATGTTTCTTAATAAAGACTGTTGTCCACAGCAATGCTGTACTGTATAATTGACTGCTCATCTGGGAAATATAATTTTCTGCTGTGGTTGTGTTCTATCTCTATATGATTGTCTCATTTATTTGCATTACAGTTTAACACAATTCAAAGTATTCTGATACTCAAATGAAGCATAACTGAGAACTTTTTACTAAATGAAGCATAACTATACATCTCCTGAGCTATGAAAGAGCAACTTCTGGGCAATAGCATTTTCTCAGGGATGTTCGAGGGTCTGTGGTAATGCGTTATGTGCTGTTGTGAAGTTACGAGTTTTACTGTTGTGTGGTTTCGTTTTTTTCCCCTCATTTTTCTTTTTCTTGTGTTGTGGTTCGACTCTGTGAGGCTACAGGGGAGAGCGTTGCATGAAGGGTGGTCAGCAGAAGAGCAGTAGCCTGTCATCTTAATGGACTAAAACTATCAACACTAATGACCCATGAAACAAACCAAAAAGGCTCCTCTATACACAAGTACACACACACATGCACTCACATGCATATAAACATACACGCACACAAATCCCTGTCTGCTTATCCAAGGATACGCCAATCTAAAATTGAAAGGATCAACTGTTTTGTTTTTATGACTTTATCTGGATTTTTCCCCCTGAGAACAGAGTGGTTTTGTCTGGAGTACAGTACCTGTGACGCACATAATGACCTCTGTGCCACAACGTAACCTTCACTCTCATCCATATGGCCTGAGGTCGCTACCTTTACCATAAGATGAGTGAAGCAGAGACAATAAATGCATATCGGGGCAACTTCTGGGCAATAGCATTTTCTCAGGGATGTTCGAGGGTCTGTGGTAATGCGTTATGTGCTGTTGTGAAGTTACGAGTTTTACTGTTGTGTGGTTTCGTTTTTTTCCCCTCATTTTACTTTTTCTTGTGTTGTGGTTCGACTCTGTGAGGCTACAGGGGAGAGCGTTGCATGAAGGGTGGTCAGCAGAAGAGCAGTAGCCTGTCATCTTAATGGACTAAAACTATCAACACTAATGACCCATGAAACAAACCAAAAAGGCTCCTCTATACACAAGTACACACACACATGCACTCACATGCATATAAACATACACGCACACAAATCCCTGTCTGCTTATCCAAGGATACGCCAATCTAAAATTGAAAGGATCAACTGTTTTGTTTTTATGACTTTATCTGGATTTTTCCCCCTGAGAACAGAGTGGTTTTGTCTGGAGTACAGTACCTGTGACGCACATAATGACCTCTGTGCCACAACGTAACCTTCACTCTCATCCATATGGCCTGAGGTCGCTACCTTTACCATAAGATGAGTGAAGCAGAGACAATAAATGCATATCGGGGTCACAACTGAAAATAAGTGCTTAAAGTCGGATAAAAAAGATGCATTTTAGTACAAGTTGACTGATCTAAACATGTACATGGTGTCCATCCTTCTGTTTGAATAGGGAACCCCACAGCAGATTTGACCATCTGTCAATCAATGGGGTTTCCAAGCTGTCCACTTTGGACTTGGCCCTTTCAGTTATTGTAGTCCTGTAGTGTGTGGGTAAGTGTTTGTTTTGGTGTGGTTTCTGTGTCAGTTGCGAGAGCCTAATGTCTGGGTAAGGTGAGCAATGACAGATAAATGACCCACCACATTCATTTAGTTATCCATGAACTAAACCAGATAAATGCTAGCTTACTGTATAGAGTATGTTTGATCTTTTAACGAAATTTAAAATGCAAAACTTTAGGTCGCAGTAATAGAATAGGTGCTTGTAAAATTAGATACAACACAGGATGTTAAGACAGTTATTCAGTGGCCTGTATTTTTATGACAGAAACAAGACTCACAGACTTGTTTAAAATTAAATATGGTGTCAACTGGGTCCATTTGGTAATTGATTTATTTTGTGGCTTATTCCGTTTTTTATTTCTTTTGTGCTTCTAACAGATTTTCAGATGATGTTGTCCTCTTGTAATCTCTATTTTTAATGCATAAATGGATCTGAGTTTGAAATGATGTAAGCATTTTGATTATAAACTGACTAGTTATTATTACCCTCCTATCATCTATACTATCGCTCTGCCTCTTCCCTCGGCCTGTCTCTCTCTTTCTTTTCTCCATATCGTTTGATTTGCGTTTCATTGCCTTCTCTCTACATATACAAATACATGAACTCATTCTTCACTTTGTCTCCAAATGTCATATTTTTTCTCCTCATATCCCACATTCAGAACAGACTGTTTCTTTTCCAGATCTCTGTTTTTCTGATCAAGGGCTTTGGAATGTATTTGCCCCAGAAAATCCCCAAAATCATGAATAACTTACAGGGTGCTGGCTCACAAACACACAGGGCACAAATAGATGGGCAGCACGTATAGCTCTAGTTTCAGTTAATCTCCAAATGCGCAGCACACATTCACTCTTTGACGGTACATTACCCATGCTGGAATAATAATTGTGTGTGTGATGCAGAAAGTTTCACACTTTTTCTCTGTACTTCATGTGCGTGAATAAAACATGAAAGGATTTTTGACTGTTCTCCTATGAGCTAGTGCAGCAGAAATATTTTGGTAGTACATGGATGCTTTCATCCTGTCTATGAGCTTTTTATTTCCACACAGCCGTTTACACTGCACTCTTGCATTTTAGGTTTTTGGTGCAATCAATCAATTTAATGACTTCACATATGAACCAAAGATCCGCACTCAAAAAAAGTTTTCCCATGTGGTGACGAAGATAAATTTTTATTGACAAAGATTTTAGGTTTAAAGCTATATGAATGTATTCATATTGACTAGTTAATCAAGGGGGAGCAGGAGCTGTAATATTAAATTTACAGTTTCATTCATGTATTTTCATTTGCATATTACATAATATTCTAACCTTGTTGAGATTTCTCTTTTTTTTCACTATAAGTCAAAATTAAATCTGTTATTTCACTTACTTTTTGTAGTATATATAATTTTTTCCTTTAGGAATATCCTACTTAATTAGTAACAGTAAAGGGTTAATTGACTTTCTATGTGATGCTAAGAGTTCAGAAAGAACATGATTATGAATGTAAATTCAATTTCTTTCTCTGAAATTACTGCAGTACCTCCATGCCCGGGTCTGACTACACCTTCCTCCACTTTCGCTGAGGTCTCAGTCGGATTATGGATTACTGCAGAGTCTTATTATCTCTCTCACCCATATGAGCAGTAATGTAGTGTGAAGGGAAGGGGTTGAGAGTTTAAATGAAGACCTCCTGCTGGTTAAGATCTCAGAACGCACACCCCCTCCTCCCTTACTCACCACATTTGGGTTACTGCATCTCTGCTTCTAGACCTGGAGGGGGGGGGACGGTGCCCTGTGATGTCGCACCATGAGGGGGGTGAGTTTGCCTCCCGTTCTCCTCTTCCTCCTTTGAGACATCCAGGAGCTCCTCAAACCCCCAGCCTTGTTAGTGAGCATGTCTGATTTGGCCCTTTCACTGTGTGTCTCACACTTTTTTTTTTGCACTTTCAGTGTCGCTCTGTAGAACCTACCGTCAGCTGTGATCGCAGTTGTCTTATTTTTTTTCGCAATTTTTTTTCTCTCTATACAGAGAGCACTCTGTTGAATTCTTTCTCCCTCTCTGGCGTCATGATCTTCATCCTTGCCGTTTCTCCCTTTCAGCGAGATGCTTATCCTTTCCTCTTCCTTCCTTCATTAAAGTTTCTTTTTGTTTCTCTTACGTAGGCCAGTTTTAGAGGAATCGGTGGGGGGGGTTCTTCAAGTTCAGCCTTCAAATAGAGCGATTGTTTGTGGAGTTCCTCAATGTTCCTCTTATGAATCTTTTGCACGTCCATCTTGGCCTGGCTGTCTGAAGATTAAAAGGCAGGCCTGAGTCCTGAAAATAGCATTACATGGCTGTCAGCTCAATTTTCACTCTATTCTGTCTGTTTTATTCTTTTCATTCAGTTCTCCTGATCATCAATATACATTTATGCAGTATATTATATTTTATAGTCAGAATGTCTCTTATTTGGCCAATACAATGATGATAGCAGAGCACAAGTTTTTGATGCTATTGAGATCAAGTATGCACTTTCCTGCAGAAAGAAATTCTCAGAAATTATGGAATAAGGGATCTTATTTTGCAAATATAATCTCTGAAATTTGCTTTCCGTGAAATTAGGGATTGTTCACCAAAAAATTAAAATTCTGTCAAACACAAAAGGAGATGTTAAGTAGGATGTTACTTTGCTCTTTCAATGAATGTGAATTGTGACCAAAGTCTGGCAAGCTCCAAAAAATAAATCACCATAGCAGTAGCCCATGACTTGTGCCACTATATTTTAAGTATTTGTGCAAGGAATAGACTTATTAATAGAAATACGAACATTTAAGTCGTTGTTTATTGAAAGTCTTAATTTTTGCATTTTTAATATGTATGTACTTGAATTTGGAGTGTTGCAGTACATGAGCACAACATGAGAACATGAGCTTCACTTTTTGTTCAAAACTGATGTAAACCTGGTATGATACATCTTGTCATTTCATATTTCAATATGTGTGAATGTAATTTCAGGGTCCCAGACAGTGTAGGAGTGTCACCATCAGGTTGACTGTGAAAATAAGGAATTAATAATGCAAGTCAGGATACAACCTCCAGACAACATGTCTTCTTCAATGCCCACATAACCAAGAAAGGTACTAGAAGTTCACCATTCAGACACAGATCAAACCTCTCAAATTCATGTGTTCTCATTAAATGCTTTAAGACCTGGACTATCAAATAATTAAATCCTGAAAAACATTACATTTATTTGTTTATTTTGCATAAGAAAACACACCATAACAACCATTCTTTATATACATAATGGAAATGAAATGGAAATGTGTTTGCATCCAGCTTGTAGCTTTAAAAAGCAGACACATAAGGACATATTCATGAAGGAGTTATAGATGCTGTTTGTTTTTCTTAAAGGCATCAGAGGGGTTTATGGTTTTTTTTGTTTAAATAGTTTTAGTTAACAGTAACAACACTGGTGACAACAAACTATAGCAATGTCGCAGTAACTTTGTAAGGAAGAAAGAGAAAGAAAGTGGAAGTCTTTGTGCATGTGTAGGAAAATGAAAGCATGCGAGAGGAATAATGAAAGAGAGAGAATTGTCAAGAGCATCGTTGTGTAATGCTAATGGGAACCATTCCCCTTACAGCTGATATCTAATGAGTTTCCATCAATCATCTCCCTTATTGTTTCATTTAGGAGATTTGATAAAGAGACTGTGAGTGTTTGTGTTGAATTCAGTCATCTCAGTCCTCTCTCTGTTTCTCTGATTTCTTTAGAGCTTCGCACTGAAGCCCCTAGACCTCTCATGGATGTCATTTTGGAGCCCCTACAAGGACATGGCCCCACACTGGAGCAGGTCTACTGGGGAAATGTGTGTGTGTGTGTGTGTGTGTGTGTGTAATGGAAAAGGCGGGATTAGATCCATCATACTACAATCCGGTTAGAAAGTGCAGGTTTTCAGTCTGTGTGTGTGTGTGTGTGTGTGTGTGTGTGTGTGTATTTTTGTGCATGTGTATTTATGAGACATTTCAATATTATACATACAGCACACTGAATGTCCATTTTTCATGTATTAGTGGATCTTTTTTTCTGAGAAGAAGCTACACAACTGCTCAAAACAACTGTTGTTGTATCAAAAATATGCTAATGCAATCCCCAAGTCACCAAATCATAAATTCTCTCTCCCAACCATCAAAGGTTTTCAGAAATCCCTGGCAACCACATAAACAACCCACAGCTTGTGTGGCAGTGTGGTTGTGCATGTGTATAATAAAGACAGACAGACAGACAGACAGACAAAGAAAGAAAGAGTGAGAGAGTCTGATTTCGATAAGGGAACATAAGCAAGTGTCACGTACGCCACCCTTCCCTTGAAGATTATCTCGGGGGGGCTGGGGTGTAAGCCATGCAATCATTTTTTCAACATGAGACTTTAAAGTGATAGAAAGAGAAACCCAGATTCAGAATGAGACAGACGCTACGACTGACCTAAGAATCTCTTAATTAATGACACTTACGTACTGTTCCTAATTATGTGCTGTAGCTTGTAACGTACCAACGACCTGACAGTATTTAAGGTGGTACCTGACAGTGTTGTTATTGTTAACTACAACTGAAACTATTAGAATTCTTTTTGTTGATTGAAATAAATGTGAAATACAATAAAATATAAGAATTAAAAGAAAAACAACAGAAATTAGGAAATGTTGCCTTGGCAACTAACTGAAATCAAATAAGTTTAAGTTGATGTAATAAAATAAATAAAAGTGAAATAAAAATAAAATAAAGCTAAGTAGAAATATTAGCAAAATAATGAAAATGACTATAACTCAAAACAT